ACATGCGCGATGTCTTTAAATTAATGTGTAGCGCCCTCAGGATGCGGCATGAATGACGACACGAAGTCCACGACAAAAATACAGGGTTTATTCCTGGCAACCCGTGAGAACTGGTCCCACGAACATGAAACATACAAACAAGTGACATTACGTACCAAATAAAGACAACTACAAAGACAATTGATTTAACATAAAACACACAAACCTCGTGGGCTCACACCCATAAGGGGCTAAACTTCGGCCGAAATCCTGCCCGTCGTCGACTTGCCTCATACGGTAGGCTCTCGGCACTCTCGTCTTCTTACAAATGGCTACACAGAGCTTACAAAACGTGTCTTTCAAAGTGCTCCAATACATGTGCACGGCAACTAGAGTCCGGTGGACCTTATTTGCGATAAATGGTTCCAGCCAACAATCGCCACTAGATGGCATCAGAACACCAATAATGAAACTGCTTAACGGGAAATATTGGCAGTAATATCAGAGAGAAGTTTTGTTTCTCCAAACAATTTACGAAGCACAAAAAGATGCACTGTGAATTCAAAATCTATCTGTGCTAGCAGACCTCGAGGCTCAACAGATCTTTCACCATGAAGTTCTTTGGCAATCTCTTGCAGGAGTCGCTTAAGGGCAGGCAGTCGATCCATGATGTTACGTAGAGCTATAAATCGACATTCCTGTTCCACACTCAGATATAATGAGGAAAGCTCTGGCCAGCCAAGAAAGACTGGTGAAGCAGCAGGAGTCTGCGTTGTGGACTTAGAGAAGGTGTTTGACCATGTCCTTCAGGGATTTATGTGGGGTGATTGCATCGGTAGTATGTCGTACCGAGCACCCTGATACAGGCGGGTTTGTCCCTGTACCACCGATGTCAGAGTTTGGTCCGCATTGTCGGCAGTAAGTCAGTGAAGGTTGGACTCTGCCAAGGCTGCCCTTTGTCACAGATTCTGTTCATAACTTTTATGGACAGAATTTCTATGACCAGCCGAGGGATTGAGGGGATCCGCTTTGGTTGCCTCAGTATTGCATCTCTGCTTTTTGCAGACGATGTGGTGCAGATGGCTTCTTCAAGCCATGATCTCCACCTCCCACTGGAGCAGTTTGCAGTTGGGATAAACATCAGCACTTCCAAATATGAGACCATGATCCTCAGTCGGAAAATGGTGGAGTGCCCCCTTGAGGTCGGGGATGAGACCCTGCCCCAACTGGAGGAGTTTGAGTATCTTGGGAGCTCGTTCACGAGTGAAGGTAGGATGGAGAGTCAGATCGACAGGCGGATCTGCTGTGATAAGGACTCTGTATCAATCTGTTGTAGTGAAGAAAGAGCTGAGCCGAAAGGCAAAGCTCTTAATTTACCAGGACGCCTCCCTGGTGAGGTGTTCCGGGCATGTCCCACCGGTAGGAGGCCTCAGGGATGACCCAGGAAACACTGGAGAGACTCTGTCTCCTGGCTAGCCTGGGAATGCCTTGGGATCCTCCTGGAACAGTTGGAAGATGTAGGTGAGGAGAGTTAAGTCTGGGCTTCCTTGCTAAAGCTGCTGCCTCCACGACCCGACCCCACATAAGTGGTAGAAAATGGTATGGTATCCCCATCTGTTTCATTATGTTTTAAAAAATTAAGTGGAGTTCTGGCGGTCCGAGGTTGACCGGTTGATTTTCGTTTCAATGCAGATCCAGTAGCTCTGAAGGTGGTAACCCATAACAAGATCGTGTTTCGAGCTGGTACGGGATCATGTCTACCAAGATTGAAGTGCAAACGGAACGCTCATTCTGTTGCGGTTACCGATTCGTTTGTTTTGATAAACGTTTCCACAATGAAGGCGTGATGCTCACCAGTCCAATTCATGGCAGCAACTGAAAAAGAAACAAAAAACAATGACATTATAAAGAAACAAAGCAAAATGGCATTATATGAAAAAAATGGCATTATATGTGCCTTTCGAAAATAAAAAAACTTTTTTTTGTGTCTTTGCTTCATTTGCTTTTTATTTAACCTACAAATGTGTCAGATCATTTTGCCTGACCCTGTATAAGTGGCAATCGATGACAAACAGCAATAACGAACAGTCATCTTTGGAGTTGGTGGTGATAGAAGTTGTTCTGTGCATGTTCAGGAACAAACAGAGGGAAAACACAGCTGTGGATTTCAAGGCCAGACCTCTACTGTGGAGACCAGAGAATCCGTCTGCCTGATGGGTCAAACCACACGCTGCATCTCCACCTCATGTGGTTTGCAATATTTACCTTCTGGTCATATGTTCCCTGCTTGGTCACACTGGCTGTGGCAGAAGCTGTTAGCTTCCCTGTGCCTCTCCTCACTCTGTCTGCAGATGTTAGAGAGGTTTATTTGTATTTAGAGGGCCTTTGTTTTCTTCAGTTGCATCAGTAAGCTGTTTCTCCACCAGTGGGGTCATGTGCCTTGTCATGTGTCACCCACTTCTAAAATGACTGAACAGATGAATCTTTTTGCATTGCATGTCAAAGAAGAATTCTTTGATTTTTTTTCCCGTGTGTTGCCCTTGAAATGGTCAATTCATCTGAACTTGTCTACAAGTGGATTTCTATTAACTTGTCTTTCACTGATGGGCTAACCTGCTGTGTAGACAGGCAAAATCAGAGCAATTTTGTTACCCAGTTCAAATTAGCAGCAGGTACATTCTTGTGTTTACAATGGGCCTGTTGTGGGCATATTGTGTCTATTAGTGCAGATGAGAACACACACTAGCAAAGCGTAGAAAATACTGTACATATGCAAATATTAGCTGGTTATCTGCATTTGAAATGACCCGACGTTGAAACCATCTATCAATCCATCCATCATCCGAGCATGCTTATCCTCACTCAAGTTGCTGGAGTGCTGAAACCTATCCCAACTGTCTTTGGGGAGTAGGCAGTTACACCCTGAACTGGTTGCCAGCCAATCACAGGGCACTCATAGACAACCATGTAATTATTCCAGGGTTTTTCTTCAGATTTTCTTTGCATATATTTTATGTTTTATGCATGCATTTGGGTTTATTTACAACAGGATTTTCCAAGAAACGGGGTAGCCATCAGTTGCCCTGGCAGCAATTGAAAAGACAGGAGCCTCGTTAGCCCTGCAAAGACCTGGGTCACTGCCTGAAGCTCTCCTGGAGTGTTTGGGAAGTGGATGACTTGGTGGTGAAGAGCCACCGCCTCCCCACTGACCTGGTGGTGTAGTGAACAGTGGACCGTGGCATCCCAAAGACCCGTGGAAACAACCAGTATGAGACCCTACTCGCCAGCAAGAAGAGAAGGACCAGCGTCTTTGCACCCAATCCATGCCATCGGGCCTGGTCCAGGAGTTTCAGCAACTCTCCAAATGAGCCACAGCTCTGGTGAAGGTGTTGCGAACTCTCCTTTGAAGAAGCAGTCCAACAAGTTTATTCTGCAGGAATGCTCTAAATCTTTATTTCGAACATAAATTAACAACAGTTAAATAAATAATAATAATAATCATGAGTAAATTGAGGTAAATGAGAAAACAATTCATCCATCATCAAGAACATGCTCGAAAAGAAGAAGAATAAAAACGTTTTTTAGTCCATCCAATTTATTCTCCATGATGAGCAAAAGCAATTCATCAATTTCGATAGCAAAAAAAAAAAAAAAAATTGGGGATGTTTGTGTATATTCCTCCATTCATCCATTTACTAATCCACCCGTCCTCATTCGGGTCGAAGGCCGAGCTGACTTCAGGCAGTAGGCAGGGTCCACCCTGTACTGGTTGCCAGCCAATTGCAGGGCACGCATCGACGAATAACCATTCGAGCTTACAATCACACATAGGGACAATTGAGTTTTCCATAGACTTAACGTGCATGTTTTTTGAATGTAGGAGGAAACCGGAGTACCCGGAGAAAACCCACGTTGGCACGGAGAGAACATGCAAACACCACACAGGAAGGCCGGAGCCAAACCCTGCACTTCTGCACTGTGAGGCCGACATGCTAACCGTTCGACCATCAATCATACAATGTGAGTCTCTGGATTGTATTTATTCATTTAAGTTTCTCACACAATGATGAAAATTGCAAACCTCTCTTTTTAGATGGGCGAGCTTCCCGATTTTCAGGTTTCTTATATATATATAGTGGATGTAGCGGTCCCAAGTGATGGAAACATCAGAAAGAAGGAACACGAGAAACTCGAGAAATACCAAGGGCTCAGAGAGGAGCTGGAGAGAGCCTGGAAGGTAAAGGTGACAGTCGTGCCTGTGGTGGTCGGAGCACTCGGGGCAGTGACCCCCAAACTAGATGAGTGGTTGCAACAGATCCCGGGAACAACATCGGACATCTCAGTCCAGAAATGTGCAGTGCTGGGAACAGCAAGGATACTGCGCAGAACCCTCAAGCTTCCTGGCCTCTGGTAGAGGACCCGAGCTGAATGGGGGATGGACACCACCCGAGGGGTGAGACGAGGATTATTTATATATATAGATAGATAGAGAGATAGAGAGACAGATAGAGATATTGATATAAAAGTATTTTAAAAGTGAATTCAACAAAATGTCAGTATAATAAGCTCTGAATGTATTCTTTTAAATAATTTTGTTTTAATATTCACCATTAATTTGAATGGTTTTCCGTTCCTCACGATTGCTAAAAATCCAGCAAAACTAGCGGAAATATAGTCATCTTGCTGGGTCCATACGCGGAGTTGCTGCTGGCTAGTTTGCACCCTGCTCAGTAGCTTGCACGCTTCCTTTCCGCTGTCTCTTGCAGGGTATTTTGATACGTAAAGAGCAACGTAGCATAGCACATCTCAATGTGCCGCTTTACATTCAACCGTTTCATCGATGGTATTTTGTCACTGCAAATCAGAAACACCGCAGAACCTGTTCTCTCCACAAAGGTGAATCCTTCGGTCCATTCGTCCTGAAGTCTACCATACACGTCATCTTTTTTTCTTTTCGCCATTTTATTCGTTTCGTTTTAGCTTTGAGCTAATGACCGAGCGGGCTGATTCAAAAGGGGGCGTTTATCTGTTTCCGCAGCAACGGCAAACATAGGCCAGTATTATCCAATAAAAATTGCTCCTGGAGCCAACTGCAGCCTTGAACAGGAAATGAGCAGTAAAAAAAAATCGATGGATGGATGAAACAAGCGAGAATATTTTGTTTTATCTGCGAGCCAGATGCAATCATCAAAAGAGCCACATATGGCTTGCGAGCCATAGGTTCTCGACTCCTGCCCCAGGTGATGACAACGCGCTGAGCATGCTAGCGGATATTTATCCATCCATCCATCCATCCATCCATTCTCTGTATCGCTTCTCATCACTGGATTTATGGGTGGCAATTTAAAGTCTTCAATCAACCCACCATGCATTTTTTGGGGAATGTCGGGGGAAAGTGGAGGACCTAAAGAAAACCCGCATAGACAGTATATTTCAACATAATTATTTCAATGTGGATTTGTGAAGTACTATGTCTCTAAGGACTTGGCTTCAGTGAAGGCGTTGACTGCATGTTAACTATCCATGTCAACTGACATTGCTTGACCACATGAATCAGTACATAATCAGTACTACACATTTGTTGCGGTCAGATATAATTTCAATACTCATCAGTTTGTTTATTCTTAAAGTAGACATGGATACAATAAAGTAGACAGTCCTGATGGAAATCAAATTCTCCAAATAGGGCAATCTGCAAGAATTGATTTCATCAGAGAGCAGGTTGAAGAGATTTGTTCACCATCAAAGATGCAATCCTCTGTCGAAATTGGCTGACTACATTTAGGGACGAGAGTCTCACAGAGAAAATACACAAACAGTCCTGTTCCCCAGATCCCCCACCCGCAGTCTCTCTGTGGGGCATCATGTCACTTCCTCCAGAGAGCTTAAAGTCAGAGAATCTCCACAAGTTATTCCACCTGCTCCTCTGCCGCTGGTGTGAGGCCTGTCGGAACAAACTGACAGGAGTCAAGCCGACGTGTTGATTCAGCTTTCTCCCATCCAAAGCATTCACCAAGGAATAAAGATCCTGGGGGAAGTGGGGGGATTGTAGGAGGTGGATGTGGCCTGGTGTGATCCAGATGACATGGAGAAGTTCCTAAAGATTTTAAAAATTAAGTACTTGTATTTTGTCAAAATGGAAAAGTGCCTATACTCCAACCGGTACAGGCCCTTCTTCAATTATTTTCTTCACTACTGAATGCTTCGACAAAAAGATTTTAACTCCATGTGGTATAAATTTAAATACAACTGCTCAACAGCTTCCTGTCAATGAGTACATCCAAGTGTTTTCAACAAAATATGATTTATAACAGTTAAATAAAGTGCTTTGAAGTCTTTGAACTGTCCAATCCATCCATTTTCCGATCCACCTTATTCTCATAGGGGTTGTGGAGGGTGCTGGAGACTATCCCAGCTGTCTTCGGGTCGTAGGTGGGGGACACCCTGAACTGGTTGCTAGCCGATTGCAGGGCACACAGAGACGAACAACCATCCGCACTCAGACTCACACCTATGGACAATTTGGAGTGTTCAATCAGCCTGCCATGCATGTTTTTGGAATGTGGGAGGAAACCGGAGTACCCAGAGAAAACCCACGCAGGCACGGGGAGAACATGCAAACTCCACACAGGAAGGTCGGAGCCGGGATTGAACACACGACCGCTGCACTGTGAGGTTGACACGCTATCACCGGATCACCAAACCGTGTCTTTGGACTGTAAATTCACTAAGTAAAACTGGTGCGTCCAGTGGAGAGAGTTTCATGGCAAATGATTTATTCACAAGGGATGTCAACAAATATGTTGTTCTGGGACGGAATGTACACTGAACATATACTTCAGGTACTATATGTTCTTGCCTTTGACATCAATGAGGTTTGATTTTACAGACCGCTCCAGAGTTATCTATTGCATCGACTCCTCTTATGTGGCTGTTCGCGGCACGGCAAACTGAGGTTTATAACAATACCCACTCAGGAACACCACCACAAATAAACAAAACAACTCAGAGTAGGAATCCCTATGTGTCATTGCAGATTTTATTTGGGTTCCCAGTTGTGTTCGTATATTCAGCCACAGTCAGTCGGTCCGGACGTCTCTGGGCCCTCAACAAGCCAGCAACAACTAGTGAAGGGCCCTTCGTGAGGGGTTCTTGACACACTGTAGTTTCAGTGTCTCAGTCAGTGCCATTGTTATGTTGTTAATATGAGCAGGGCTGGAGCCATCATTTCATAAGTGTGTGTGTGTGTGGGGGGGGGGGGTATTCGGGGGGGCAAATTCCTCAAGCGTAAACAATTTTTAAGAGCAGATTTTATCATCCTTTTGCAATCAACCGCTCCTTTCTGTGAAAATGTCAAACTATGGTCGGATTTTTAAAAAATAAAAAGAAGAAAGAAAAACAACATCAGTAAAGCATAATTATCCAGTCAATTAAGGGAAATAATGACCAATGGTAACAATGGACACAAACATTCAGTAAAATATGGTTCTTGCCAGAAAGTTTATTGCACGCAGTAAAAAGGTTTCGGACAATGTGTGGAATATTATTTTAACACAAAATTTTGCTGCTGTAAATTGCGAATTTCTCCATAGTGAGACAAATAAAGGTTTTCTTATCTTATAACAGCGGTTCCTCGAGAGCCATATCCTGCCCTAATTTAGATCCCTCCCTCCTCCAGCACACCTGAATCAATTAGTCATGATCATTTCAGGCCTCGACAGAGCTTGCTGATGAACTGATCATTTGAATCAGGTGTGTTGGAGTGGAGAGATGAGACAACTACCACAATAACAAGTCCAAATCCTCTGATATCAGTCAAATATTGTACTTCATGATTCCTTAGTCCTCCATTGAGGAAAATAAATTCATTCATTCATTCATTTACCGAACCGCTTGATCCTCACTAGGGTCGCGGGGGTGCTGGAGCCTATCCCAGCTGACTCCCAGCAGTAGACGGGGGACACCCTGAATCGGTTGCCAGCCAATCGCAGGGCACACAGAGACGAACAACCATCCACGCTCACTTTCAAACCTAGGGACAATTTAGAGTGTTCAATCAGCCTGCCATGCATGTTTTTGGAATGTGGGAGGAAACCGGAGCACCCGGAGAAAACCCACGCAGGCCCGGGGAGAACATGCAAACTCCACACAGGGAGGCCGGAGCTGGAATTGAACCCGGTACCTCTGCACTGTGAAGTCGACGTGCTAACCACTGGACTACCGGGCCGCCCGGAAAATAAATTATATTATTTAAAAAAACAGCTCTGGCGCCCCCCCGCCCCCTCATCACCACACATGCAATTATTGGTGCATTGAGGGACTCGTATATTCAAGTACTGTCCTCAAAGTTACATTACCCAGTTCATTACAGTATACTGCATCGTGTCAAACTCAAGGCCCGGGGGCCAGATCTGGCCCGCCACATCATTTTATGTGGCCCGCGAAAGCAAATCAAAGATGTCAATTTTCATGATGCTTGCAAAAATCTCGACCAAACTTTAAAAATTCTCATTTGTAATAAATAAGAGTGATCCTGAAAGCATTTTCGTGTGAACAAACCCCTAATTTCAGTAACTTAAACAATAGGTGAATAAACTATTATTCTTGACTTCTTTATATTGTTTCAGTCATAACGGCCCTCCAAGGGAAACTGCAACTAAAATCTGGCCCGCGACAAAAAATGAGTTTGACACCCCTGGTATACTGTATCATTAGTTTTTTTTAAACATTCCTTCTTTACTTTTTTTTTCCTCCTATATGTTGATTTTGTTGATCAATTTATTGCTTTTAAACTGCACATGAGGGCGGCCCGGTGCTCGAGTGGTTACTGCATTGACATCACAGTGCAGAAGTCGTGGGTCCTGGCTCCGGCCTTCCTATGTGGAGTTTGCATGTTCTCCCTGGACCTGCGTAGGTTTTCATTCATTTTTAGGCCGAGCTGTGCACTATTTCTAATGTTGCATTTTTCTTCATGGGGAATTGCTGCATGATGAAATTAATGTTCTTTTCGGCTTCAGGATTTCAACTTGTACCAAAGACATGCGAATATACTGATATAAAGCCTTTGCTTTTGCCGTGACACTCAATTGCAGATTTTATTGCTTCAAATGCATTTTCAGGCCGAGGTGTGCATTTTTTCTAAAGTTACATTTTTCTTTATAGGCATTTGCTGGTTGATGAAGTTAATGTGTGTGGAGTTTGCATGTTCTCCCCGGGCCTGCGTGGGTTTTCTCCGAGTACTCTGGTTTCCTCCTTCCGCATTCCAAAAACATGCATGGCAGGCTGATTGAACAGTCAAAATTGTCCCTAGGTGTGAGTGTCAGCTTGGATGGTAGTTTGTCTCTGTGTGCCCTGCGATTGGCTGGCAACAGGTTCAGGGTGTCCCCGCCTACTGCCCGAAGACGGCTGAGATAGGCTCCAGCAACCCCCGCGGCCCTTGTGAGGATAAGCGGATCAGAAAATGGATGGATGAATGGATGGATGGGCATTGTGTATTGTGGGAAGATATGTCATGTGTTTTGTATTTTATGGAGGACGTGTTTCTCTCGTAAAGAGACATAAGCTTTGTTGTGAGCGCCTCTTTGAAGATTCTAATACAGGGGTGGCCAACCAGTCAGAGACTAAGAGCCAATTTTTTTTTTTTTTTACTGTTACTTTAAAGAGCCACATCATACACATGGGCACACATACACACACACACACACACACACACACACACACACACACACACACACACACACACACACACACACACACAAACACACACACACACACACACAAAGAGAGAGCGAGTGAGAGGCCTTTGATCAGCCAGATTTATTGTAAATGTCACACACCAAGATGATGACAGAAATTTACTTCTACAGTACTAAGACCACAGACCAGTCATTTTCAACAATGAATATTGTGTGCATTGTCAGCTTGCCACATAGGGCAAGGGTGGCAAGCGACCAACCTCCCGCGATCGACCCGATCGCGCACGTGCACGTGCAAGTATATTCACACACACACACGTGGATGCTCAACCATGCACACGCGCGCATATGCAAGCATGCACAACACGGTGAGCAACAGCCGGAACGGCCCCTAACATGAGCGAAACCGAAACACACAGACACACAAACCCCACTTCTTCCTCCCACCCCTTGCGGTTGACAGGGGACCAGTCTGCTGGCTCCCAGTCTATCGCGATCGAAGTATTGGGGACTCCTGCCCTAAAACCAAAGGTAATTCACTGACTAGCTTTGTGCTTTGCGCTGTTGTTTGCGCGTGACCGGTGACGTAAAGGTCAAAATTCAGTTGTCATCTGACTGGTTGCCCTGTATGTCAATCAAGTCACTGGATTGATGATAGGCTGACATCGAAAGTTTGGCTGTACTTGAATGTCAGTTGTTTGAATGTCAGCGCCACCGCCGAGGCGTTTTCGACGCTTGTCATGTGAAAGCCCGGGAGCCGCATTGCACTAGCCAAAGAGCCACATGCGGCTAACGAGCCACGGGTTGGCCACCACTGTTCTAATATTTTCAGAAGTTGATGTGAGCATAAGTAAAGATGTCAACATAAATTTTGGTGACCATTGATTGCAGTTTTGGCACATTTGGCAAAGTTTGGATTCCGACATTACAGGTTTCGACTGTCGTATTGTACGGCAAGTGAGGAAGGATATATTACCTTAGTGTTGGCAACTAAAGAGGCATTTGAACCGTTGAACACACAGGTGTCAAACTCAAGGCCCGGGGGCAAGATCTGGCCCGCCACATCATTTTATGTGGCTCGCGAAAGCAAATCAAAGATGTCAACTTTCATGATGCTTGCAAAAATCACAAACACAATTTCAAATTCTCATTTGTAATAGATAAGAGTGATACTGTAAACATTTTCTTGTTGTCAAACCCCTCATTACAGAAACTTAAACAATAGGTGTATATACCATTATTCTTGACTCGCTCCAAGGCAAGCTAACTAAAATCTGGCCTGCGACAATTCAGCAAATAATGTCATAAAACTGAGCTAGAATAACATCAAACAATCAAAAGCAATAATTCCATGTTAATCCAGTGAGGAAGCATCGTTACAATTTGCTTCACTCTGGCACATCCAATACGGCTGCAGCGTCAACCTACTCAAGAAGGCGTCTTTGTATATGTAGTGTAAATGTTGAAAGCTACATCATAATCCCAGCCTACTTTGTCAATGGTAAATAGGAAGTACAACGTTTTCTACTGCAGACAGGCCACTTTATGAGACCCACCCTAAGGTGAATGTAGCAGATGTCCAAAATGGAGCTGTCAGCGAATGGGAACATCCTAGGCCAAATCACAGTGTCTCTGTTGTGACTGACAATGCTCGCAACATGGCTGTGGGAATAGGAGAGACTGATTTTGAGCCACAAGTGCTCAAAATAAATCTCGCTCGTCAGACTGGTCTCAAAGTGGCCCGCATATCACGTTTGCCTCGAGATGCATAGCACGTCTAAAAAAAAAAAAACCAAAAAAAGATAATTATGGACGTTGTCACGTACTGGGACAGCTCTTTGGACATGATGGTCCACTCTCTAGAGCAGCAGGCTGTTGTATCCGCAGCTCTGATAAGCCCGGGACTATGACAGAGTTGAAGAAATCTTGACACTTTGGATTGCAGTGATTTTTTTGTTGCTGAAGATCTCGTGAGAATCGTGGGTCCAGCCAGAAATACTACCACTGTTTTACGCGAAGAAAAATGCCCCACTTAGTCACTTCTTGTGCCATTCAAGAGTATGATTCAGTCGAGCATGACACCAGCAGAAGATGACTCAAAAGAGTGTGTCTTTACTACAACCGGTGGTATCGATACTGCCCACAAAAACAAAGTTTGACCCTGAGAATGTGGACATGCTTGTATTTCTGAAAATCAACATGACCCTTCAAGATTAGAGAACTGTTAGATGGAGCCAGTTTGCTGGCAATCACCACCACGGATGGTTTGATTTGCTGCCCAGAAGTTAAGGTCACTTGTGTAATTATTATTTGCTCTCATGCTTGCTTCTTGCTAAACACCCCTGCATCTGAATAACCTTCATGATAAAGCGTTCAACACTACTACCAGCTGGGATGTAGCCACACAGAAGGAATAAAAAAAAAAGAAATAATTATAGGAGGGGTATGTGGGGGGAACATACAAAAGAAATCATACATGAGAATCATTAAATTCTCAACATGGAAGTATGGATTAAGTTGACATTATTCCAAACATGAACAAAAGCAAAATCAAGCCTGTAACCTTTTTTTTCCCCCCAATCACGGGGCTGTCGTGTGTGTGTGTGTGTGTGTGTGTGTGTGTGTGTGTGTGTGTGTGTGTGTGTGTGTGTGTGTGTGCGTGTGTGTGTGTGTGTGTGTGTGTGGTCTCCACAATGATCACCCTCCACTTGTTGTGACATCAGATATGTTAATGCAAACCCATAGCAGGGTAACATGGGAGGATTGGCACGAAGTTGTGCATACCAACTCTAATAGGCTAAAAGAGAGACCTCCTCTTGGAATCAGATAACAGTCTACTTAGCTGATTAAAATGGCTCCCGTCGGAGTTGATTTCACCTCATACTAACAGTTTTGAGGAAAACACGGGCACCATTCTAAAATATAAACAGGTATTTGGGGGAAAAAATTGTATTACTGTACAGTGGTACCTTGACTTACAAACATCTCTTCATACGAAATTTTCAAGTTACAAAACTCCTCAACAGGAAAATTTTGCCTCTTGTTACGAAACAAATTTCAAGACACGAAAGGTTAAAATTCAGTATGGGCTGCTAGTCGCAGCTCCGAGTTTCCTGAAAGCAACATGCTTAGGGCTGCTCTGCCATTGGCTATTATCCGAGCATCATCCTGGCATCCCATTGGCTAAGAGGGACCTCTGACCGTGTCAATGTGTGTAGATAAGTAGAATTGTGTCGATGCAGCATCCTCATCATTCGCATCTTGCGCCATGAGGCGTTCCGATAGTTTTAATTAAATTTGAATAACACAGAAAAAATGTTCACCAGTCGGGCGATGGCTCACTAGGCAGATGTTTGCCTTGGACCTTTTTGAAGGATTATTGTTAAAAGCTGACAAAAGCAAACTTCCTTGAATCAGTTCTTGACAAAACACCGGGCAAAAACCGCTTCTGAGAGAGAACATTAACTAAAGAAGGCAATAAACGATCAGGACGCAGTTAAAAGTTAAATGACCATCATTTTTATTCTTTATTCTTTGTTTTTTACATTATCCACAACTCTCACTTATTGTGCAATATCGAATTTGTAACTTTTATTTGTGACATATTTTGATGCATTTTTATCCGTTCGAAAACATTTATGTCTGAATTTGGGGGGGGGGGGGGCTTGGAACAGATTAGGGCATTTACATGGAAAACGCATCTCTACTTCCAAAATTTTCTTGTTAAGAAATTTCTTCCAGAACCAATTCATTTTGTAAGTAAAGGTACCACTGTATTTATATTATTCGGAGTGGCATGTCACTTAAGCCAACTGCACACAGAGCGACACAGCTGAAGTACCGATAGATGGAGTTGGACAATCACAAATAAACTGACAACATGCAAAAAGAAATGTAACCCCTGGCATTCTTTTGAGGAAGCAACGTTTTGCAGCTCCACTCTTATTTTATTGAACCACCACCGTTATTGTCAAGGAAAAAGCAAACAAGCGACAATTCCAAGCAACTGATATTTCCATGCAAGGCTTTTCCTGATTGTGTGTGAGCAAAGCTTGACCCGAGAATGTTGGTTGCCTTAAATGAGATTTTATCCAGTATGTGGCCCCGAAACACTGACAGCACAGCCGCCAAATTACATTGTGGTCACATGACTTGATTGTTTTGTTGGCTAGAAACAGAAGGTGTTTCACATTACCTTTCTCTCTGTTTGTTGTTATTATTTCTCACGCCGCTAACTGAGCGATTGCTACACGCCATCTTTCACGAATTAACATTGTGTAAAACATAATACAGTTGCACTGCTGAGTCGCTAATTGCTTGTCATCACAGCACATAGCCGAACAGCCTCATAATTCCGTGCACACGCTTAGACCACGTGTAACTGCATCGGAAGATTCATTCCAATGTGTAAGACTTGTCAATTTGACATGAACGTTTTGGAAGTTAAAACTATAAATTATTAAATTATGAGTTTTAATTCTATTGCTGTGATTAATTGGATTTTTGTTATTTGTTATTAATGACTTGCCACAGCCCTTAAATGTTAGTTTTTTTTTT